TTTGCTAAACAGAACTTTTTAATAATAATAATAATAATAATAATAATAATAATAATAATAATAATAATAATAATAATAATAATAATAATATAATCATATCTAAAACTGCTAATTTACGTAAATTCTTTTCCTTGTAGCTAATAAAAAAATAACTTGACATATAATCGATACCATGCCTAACCCTTCTAGGGTAGGGTAGGTGCCTGAGCCCGAGCCTTTAGCTCATAAGACTGTCATTCCCATTTGCCCCCTTGGGGTGGGGATGGCAGACCAGAGAGGCCTAGCTTGTGGCTAGGCCTGGGGACAGTTGGTCCCAAAGATGAGGAGGTACTTGTGCCTCCTCCCATGGGAGACTTAGGTCTCAGACACTCCCTAAAGAGGGAGCCAAGGCCGGGCCACCACTTGGAAAAGGCCCGGGCCGGGATAATACCGGCTAATATTTAATAATAATAATAACTTGACATAGCTACTATGTAACAACCTCAAGGACTGTTAACTTGTTTAATGTAGTTTACAACACAAAATGTTCGTTTATGTGACTGTAACGTACCTAACAAAGGTTAAACCATTTTGTCGCCAGAGTGAGTGTAACAGGTCACGTCGAGAAGGTCTGGTTTACTGGTGACCTCCATAAGTGACACTTATGACTCTCCCTCTTCCCCTTAACACTGTTTCATAAACGGGTCACTAAGCTCGTCACTGAAAAACACATTAGAGGAATGAATATCGTTTTTTTTATCTTAAACGCTGTAAAATATTCGCTGTTATTGTGCCCTGGTTAGTACATGATTCACTATCCTGTGGCTGTATAGCCCTTGTGGTTTAGCTCTTCTTTTTGATAATAATAATCACTATCCTGTGTGTCCTGGCTAGGACAAGATTCGTTATCCTATGTATCTTTAGCTAGGAAAGGATTCAGTATCCTATATAGCTTAGCTACGACAGGATTCACCATCCTGTGTGTCCTATGACAGGATTAACTATCCTATGTGTCCTGGTTAGGACAGGATTCATTATCCTATGTCCTGGTTAGGACAGGATTCACCATCCTGTATGTCCTGGCTTGGATAAGATTCGTTATCCTTTGTATCTTGGCTAGGACAAGATTCACAGTGGAAATTAGGTGGAGCCTAACTTGTTGTATCGCTGTAATGGAGCCTAACTTGTATCACTGTAATGGAGCCTCACATCGCTTTCAATCTAAGGAGGAAGAGGTTGCTCAATTTCCCCTTCAAGGAGCTTCACTTGTTTTGACACCACTGTGGTGGAGCCTCACTTGTTATGGCAACAATACTAGAGGCTCACCTGTGGTGGCAACACCAGTGAAGCCCTGCTTCTGGTGACAACACTGGTGGAGCCTCACCTGTGATGGCAACACTAGTCGAGCCTTGCCTTTGACAACACTGGTGGAGCCTCACCTGTGGTGGGAATACTAGTGAGGCCTCACTTGTGGTGACAGCACTAGTGGAGCCTTGTCTTTGTTGACAACACTGGTGGAGCCTCGCCTGTGGTGGGAACACTGGAGCCTCACCTGTGGTGGGAACACTGGCGGAGCCTCACCTGTGGTGGTAACACTGGTGGAGCCTCACCTGTGGTGGCAACACTGGTGGAGCCTCACCTGTGGTGGCAACACTGGTGGAGCCTCACCTGTGGCAACACTGGTGGAGCCTCACCTGTGGTGGCAACACTGGTGGAGCCTCACCTGTGGCGGCAACACTGGAGCCTCACCTGTGATGGCAACAATGAGTCAGCCACTAGCCAAGGACAACCCGACTGCACATCTCCATGATGTGAATTTACTGTATTTAACTGAAAGAGAAAGACACCATTATCATCACACAACTTTTTTATCTTCCAGGCAAGAAATTGATTAAGCAATCAAAACTATATATTTACAATTCTTTAAAGTGTGAGATTGGCAAGTGTACAAATCTGTAGTTTACACCTGTCAGTCTCACTTCAGAGGAATAATTTTACTTACAAATATATAGTTTTGATTTCTTAATAATGTTTTTTTGCTTGGGAGATTAGAAAGCTGTGAGACGACATCCCCTGAGGGATGTGAAGTTGGCTGTCCTTGGCCAGTGACATTTGTCAATCTGTACTTTTCATGGGAAAGCAAAAGCATCCAGTTACCATAGTTTTTGTTAGGTTAAACTGACTTCTCAGTCTCATTAAATTATTTTTTGCTGCATTAGGCAATTAATTCTCGCCACAGGTAATGCAAAGCTTCAGGCAATAACCATCAGACAAAAGCTAAAATTAATCTCCCTCCCGATCCCCCCCAAGTAAAAATCTTCTACATTAACTCTTTATTCTAACAATAATCACACTGGGTTAAAGTATTCTGTATTAGCTAAAACTCAAATCAAACAGGAACTACAGTAATAAGTTTTGTAAAACTGAGTGGCATGCTCTTAGAACCATAAGATTATGTATTGTAATGGTGAACTTGACCTTGGAGATGATGTACCACCACCTCGAGAAGCTCTACTGAATGTAATCAGATGCAATTACAAGAGGGACTGTGATACGAAACAATGTGCCTGCAAAAAAAACATGGTGTGGAATGCTCACTTGATGTACTAAGTACAGGGAAGCCAGCAGTGCACACTTATCTTTCCCTTGTGTGAACAATATGGATAAATTGTAAAATGTCATATGTGAGGTAAAAAGGACCATTTTCTTTTTGGATTGTTGTTTTCTATTAGTAGCGAAGTTATCTGGTGCTCGATGTTAATATTAACATACATTTAAAACATATGGCATATGAATATTATGTCCCACAAGTATTTCATTAACGTCTTAGTTATAAATTATTTTACAATTAAGAACATAAGAGGGAAGGAGCACTGCTGAAGGCCTACTGGCCCAAGGTAAGTAAATCCAACCCACATGTCGGTTCTCTGAACCATTCATCTACAAACCTGTCAGGCACTGCAACTTCTTGGGATCTTAATACTTGGGAATTCTTCACTTGCCTATTTCTTGGGCACGACCTACTTCCACATCGAACAAATGTGACACCACCTATGACTGCTGCACCTCTCCTGTCTACGGTTTATAAGCTCCTTCTCCGCACGTATGCCGTATTCTATTCAAGATTGATGGACTGACCACATCGACTCAAGGTTGAGGGACTGATTACCTCATTCTCCTCCTGTTCTTCAAGATTCTCCTTTGTATGGACTGATGAAGCCACCGCGTGGCGAAACGTTTCCTCAATAAAGATACCCAAGAGTTGCACATGTGTCTAATTTATCAAATCCAACCCACACCCACTCATGTGCTTGTCTAACCTATTTTTAAAGCTACTTAAGGTTTTAGCTTCAATGTCTCTACTCGGCAGTTTGTTCCACTCATCTACAACTCTATTACCAAACCAATGCTTTCCCATATCCTTTCTAAATCTAATTTTTTCCAACTTGACCCCCAATGCTGAGAGTCCTGTCTTAGTTCTAGGTTGACTGACTCATGGTTCCTGCTAGGTTGATTGACTCATTGTTCCTGCTAGGTTGACTGACTCATTATTCCTGCTAGGTTGATTGACTCATTGTTCATGCTAGGTTGATTGACTCATTGTTCCTGCTAGGTTGATTGATTCATTGTTCCTGCTAGGTTGATTGACTCATTGTTCCTGCTAGGTTGATTGACTCATGGTTCCTGCTAGGCTGATCGACTCATTGTTCCTGCTAGGCTGACTGACTCATTGTTCCTGCTAGGTTGATTGATTCATTGTTTCTGCTAGGTTGACTGACTCATTGTTCCTGCTAAGTTGATTGATTCATTGTTCCTGCTAGGTTGACTGACTCATTGTTCCTGCTAGGTTGATTGATTCATTGTTCCTGCTAGGTTGACTGACTCATTGTTCCTGTTAGGTTGACTGACTCATGGTTCCTGCTAGGCTGATTGATTCATTGTTCCTGCTAGGTTGACTAACTCATGGTTCCTGCTAGGTTGGAGACTATGGTGCTCTATTACCTTTAATATTTATCCACCTACCATAAAACCTACCTGCTTGAGACATTGGTAGGTTGGAGTGACGCATCGAGAGTTCCACAAACACAAGGAGACTAGAGCCTATTACGACTCTGGCTCAATAATGACCTATTTAATTGATCTGTTCAGTCAAGCTGGTAGTGTTACACTTTGTGTTTAAGTAAGTTTATTTAGACACAAGTACACATAAGTACAATTATTATAATGTAAACTAAGATAGCCCAAAAAAAGTCAGTGACATTCTCTTCTCTGAGCTGATGAAAAATAAGTCTGGGAAGAGTTTTACCAGGAAATAATGAATTGATAAAAGCTACACAGAGCGAAACGTTGTCCCAATAAGTTCTACAATGTTTCTCCACCATTGTTAGCACTACGCTATTTGGCTCCACTTACATGTATCCGGTGTCCAGTACAATTTGCTTTCACAAGCACATTACACTACGTGATAACTTACGTCGCGTAGACCATCATCTGCTTCAAGGATTCCTTATTCTGAAAGGTTATGCAAACAAGAATTTTTACCCAGGTCCTAAGACTTATATGTCAGGATGCGGTCTCACAAGGATGTCAGGATGCGGTCTCACAAGGATGTCAGGATGCGGTCTGACTAGGATGTCAGGATGCGGTCTCACTAGGATGTCAGGATGCGGTCTCACTAGGATGTCAGCATGCGGTCTCACTAGGATATAAGAAGCTAGGTCTCGCTAGGATGTCAGGATGCAGTCACTAGGATATCAGGATGCAGTCACTAGGATATCAGGATGCAGTTACTAGGATATCAGGATGCGGTCTCACTAGGATGTTAGAGGGTAGCGCTCTTCAAGAGGGCACTGCCCTCTTAATGGGCACGTCTGTCTATGGAGGTACATAAAAACGAAATGGGAAGTGTGTGCAGGGCGAGACTGTAATGTTGGTAGAAAGGCAGTCTGACACGGGCGTGGATACTCACCTTGACAGAAATGGGGGTGGGTACTCACTCTTTGACAGTCGTGGGTACTCACCCTGACAGGCGTGGGCAGCGTGGTAGCGCCCTCCCTGCCACGTCTCCGTCGATGTTCCCTACGGCGTCCGTCTACGTCAGTGTCCCTGTGACTATGCTGACGCTTGAAGCGTCTCCTCCTTCTCCTGGCGTCGGCCTCCGACGCCAGAAGCGTCAGTAGCATCAGCAGCAAGATCAAGCCTCGTGTCAGCAACATGGCTGCTTTTTAACACGCCTTCAGCATGCACATGGTCTCACACCTCAAAAAAATTCACATTTCCTCCCAAGACCTTTTTTTTTTACCAATAACCACAAAAAAAGTATTCCAGGACACCTTTATAAATCTTGGGCAGAGTTTCACCACCGTTGTTTATTATAATTCTGGTAAAGTGGACACGTGTAGAGGGCAGGTGTAGCCGGAGACTCTGGTTACGTCCATCACGTACAGTGTCTGGCAGTAGACTGACGCTCCTCCAGGCTGGGAAGATGTACCGTTGGCTCTCTGCTGGGAGTAACTGACATTGTACCTCAGTGTTGTGTACCAGTGTTGTACCTCAGTGTTGTGTACCAGTGTTGTACCTCAGTGTTGTGTACCAGTGTTGTACCTCAGTGTTGTGTACCAGTGTTGTACCTCAGTGTTGTGTACCAGTGTTGTACCTCAGTGTTGTGTACCAGTGTTGTACCTCAGTGTTGTGTACCAGTGTTGTACCTCAGTGTTGTGTACCAGTGTTGTACCTCAGTGTTGTGCACCAGTGTTGTACCTCAGTGTTGTGTACCAGTGTTGTACCTCAGTGTTGTGTACCAGTGTTGTACCTCAGTGTTGTGTACCAGTGTTGTACCTCAGTGTTGTGTACCAGTGTTGTACCTCAGTGTTGTGTACCAGTGTTGTACCTCAGTGTTGTGTACCAGTGTTGTACCTCAGTGTTGTGTACCAGTGTTGTACCTCAGTATTGTGTACCAGTGTTGTACCTCAGTGTTGTGTACCAGTGTTGTACCTCAGTGTTGTGTACCAGTGTTGTACCTCAGTGCTGTGTACCAGTGTTGTACCTCAGTGTTGTGTACCAGTGTTGTACCTCAGTGTTGTGTACCAGTGTTGTACCTCAGTGTTGTGTACCAGTGTTGTACCTCAGTGTTGTGTAACAGTGTTGTACCTCAGTGTTGTGTACCAGTGTTGTACCTCAGTGTTGTGTACCAGTGTTGTACCTCAGTGTTGTGTACCAGTGTTGTACCTCAGTGTTGTGTACCAGTGTTGTACCTCAGTGCTGTGTACCAGTGTTGTACCTCAGTGTTGTGTACCAGTGTTGTACCTCAGTGTTATGTACCAGTGTTGTACCTCAGTGTTGTGTACCAGTGTTGTACCTCAGTGTTGTGTACCAGTGTTGTACCTCAGTGCTGTGTACCAGTGTTGTACCTCAGTGTTGTGTACCAGTGTTGTACCTCTGTTGTGTACCAGTGTTGTACCTCAGTGTTATGTACCAGTGTTGTACCTCAGTGTTGTGTACCAGTGTTGTACCTCAGTGTTGTGTACCAGTGTTGTACCTCAGTGTTGTGTACCAGTGTTGTACCTCAGTGTTGCGCACCAGTGTTGTACCTCAGTGTTGTGTACCAGTGTTGTACCTAAGTGTTGTGTACCAGTGTTGTACCTCGGTGTTGTGTACCAGTGTTGTACCTCAGTGTTGTGCACCAGTGTTGTACCTCAGTGTTGTGTACCAGTGTTGTACCTCAGTGTTGTGTACCAGTGTTGTACCTCAGTGTTGTGTACCAGTGTTGTACCTCAGTGTTGTGTACCAGTGTTGTAACTCAGTGTTGTGTACCAGTGTTGTACCTCAGTGTTGTGTACCAGTGTTGTACCTCAGTGTTATGTACCAGTGTTGTACCTCAGTGTTGTGTACCAGTGTTGTTTACCTGGAGTTTACCTGGAGAGAGTTTCGGGGGTCAACGCCCCCGCGGCCCGGTCTGTGACCAGGCCTCCTGGTGGATCAGCGCCTGATCAACCAGGCTGTTGCTGCTGGCTGCACGCAAACCAACGTACGAGCCACAGCCCGGCTGATCAGGAACTGCCTTTAGGTGCTTGTCCAGTGCCAGCTTGAAGACTGCCAGGGGTCTGTTGGTAATCCCCCTTATGTGTGCTGGGAGGCAGTTGAACAGTCTCGGTCCCCTGACACTTATTGTATGGTCTCTTAACGTGCTAGTGACACCCCTGCTTTTCATTGGGGGGATGGTGCATCGTCTGCCAAGTCTTTTGCTTTCGTAGTGAGTGATTTTCGTGTGCAAGTTCGGTACTAGTCCCTCTAGGATTTTCCAGGTGTATATAATCATGTATCTCTCCCTCCTGCGTTCCAGGGAATACAGGTTTAGAAACCTCAAGCGCTCCCAGTAATTGAGGTGTTTTATCTCCGTTATGCGCGCCGTGAAAGTTCTCTGTACATTTTCTAGGTCGGCAATTTCACCTGCCTTGAAAGGTGCTGTTAGAGTGCAGCAATATTCCAGCCTAGATAGAACAAGTGACCTGAAGAGTGTCATCATGGGCTTGGCCTCCCTAGTTTTGAAGGTTCTCATTATCCATCCTGTCATTTTTCTAGCAGATGCGATTGATACAATGTTATGGTCCTTGAAGGTGAGATCCTCCGACATAATCACTCCCAGGTCTTTGACGTTGGTGTTTCGCTCTATTTTGTGGCCAGAATTTGTTTTGTACTCTGATGAAGATTTAATTTCCTCATGTTTACCATATCTGAGTAATTGAAATTTCTCATCGTTGAACTTCATATTGTTTTCTGCAGCCCACTGAAAGATTTGGTTGATGTCCGCCTGGAGCCTTGCAGTGTCTGCAATGGAAGACACTGTCATGCAGATTCGGGTGTCATCTGCAAAGGAAGACACGGTGCTGTGGCTGACATCCTTGTCTATGTCGGATATGAGGATGAGGAACAAGATGGGAGCTAGTACTGTGCCTTGTGGAACAGAGCTTTTCACCGTAGCTGCCTCGGACTTTACTCTGTTGACGACTACTCTCTGTGTTCTGTTAGTGAGGAAATTATAGATCCATCGACCAACTTTTCCTGTTATTCCTTTAGCGCGCATTTTGTGCGCTATTACGCCATGGTCACACTTGTCGAAGGCTTTTGCAAAGTCTGTATATATTACATCTGCATTCTTTTTGTCTTCTAGTGCATTTAGGACCTTGTCGTAGTGATCCAGTAGTTGAGACAGACAGGAGCGACCTGTTCTAAACCCATGTTGCCCTGGGTTGTGTAACTGATGGGTTTCTAGATGGGTGGTGATCTTGCTTCTTAGGACCCTTTCAAAGATTTTTATGATATGGGATGTTAGTGCTATTGGTCTGTAGTTCTTTGCTGTTGCTTTACTGCCCCCTTTGTGGAGTGGGGCTATGTCTGTTGTTTTTAGTAACTGAGGGACGACCCCCGTGTCCATGCTCCCTCTCCATAGGATGGAAAAGGCTCGTGATAGGGGCTTCTTGCAGTTCTTGATGAACACAGAGTTCCATGAGTCTGGCCCTGGGGCAGAGTGCATGGGCATGTCATTTATCGCCTGTTCGAAGTCATTTGGCGTCAGGATAACATCGGATAGGCTTGTGTTAATCAAATTTTGTGGCTCTCTCATAAAAAATTCATTTTGATCTTCGACTCTCAGTCTGGTTAGCGGCTTGCTAAAAACTGAGTCATATTGGGACTTGAGTAGCTCACTCATTTCCTTGCTGTCATCTGTGTAGGACCCATCTTGTTTAAGTAGGGGCCCAATACTGGACGTTGTTCTCGATTTTGATTTGGCATAGGAGAAGAAATACTTTGGGTTTCTTTCGATTTCATTTATGGCTTTTAGTTCTTCCCGCGATTCCTGACTCCTAAAGGATTCTTTTAGCTTAAGTTCGATGCTTGCTATTTCTCTGACCAGTGTCTCCCTGCGCATTTCTGATATATTGACCTCTTTTAGCCGCTCTGTTATTCTTTTCCGTCGCCTGTAAAGGGAGCGCCTGTCTCTTTCTATTTTACATCTACTCCTCCTTTTTCTTAGAGGAATAAGCCTTGTGCATACATCGAGTGCCACCGAGTTAATCTGTTCTAGGCATAAGTTTGGGTCTGTGTTGCTTAGTATATCTTCCCAGCTTATATCGGTTAGGACTTGGTTTACTTGGTCCCACTTTATGTTTTTGTTATTGAAGTTGTATTTGGTGAATGCTCCCTCGTGACTAGTCTCATTTTGTCGGTCTGAGGCTCCACGCATACATGTCTGAACCTCAATTATGTTGTGATCTGAGTATATTGTTTTTGATATGGTGACATTTCTTATCAGATCATCATTGTTAGTGAAGATGAGGTCTAGTGTATTCTCCAGTCTAGTAGGCTCTATTATTTGCTGGTTTAAATTGAATTTTGTGCAGAGATTTAAAAGCTCGTGTGAGTGTGAGTTTTCATCAGAGCTGCCTCCTGGTGTTATTACTGCAACAATATTATTTGCTATATTCCTCCATTTTAGGTGCCTTAAGTTGAAATCCCCCAGGAGCAAGATGTTGGGTGCAGGAGCTGGAAGATTTTCCAGACAGTGGTCAATTTTTAACAGCTGTTCCTGGAATTGCTGGGATGTTGCATCCGGAGGCTTGTAGACTACCACAATGACTAGGTTTTGGTTCTCGACCTTTACTGCTAAAACTTCCACTACGTCATTTGAGGCATTAAGCAGTTCTGTGCAAACAAGTGACTCTGCAATGTACAGGCCAACCCCCCCTTTTGCCTGTTCACTCTGTCACATCTGTATAGGTTGTAACCTGGGATCCATATTTCGTTGTCCAAGTGATCCTTTATGTGGGTCTCAGTGAAAGCCGCGAACATTGCCTTTGCCTCTGCAAGCAGTCCACGGATGAAAGGTATTTTGTTGTTTATTGCTGGCTTTAGACCCTGTATATTTGCAAAGAAGAATGTTATCGGACTGGTGGTATTGTTGGTACTGGGGGGGGATTTTTTTTCCGGCATTAGTATCTGTATCTGTTGGTTTGGAGTGGAGGCCATCGACTGTGGTTCCACTCCAGGAATGACTGGATTTGGTGTACGATTTCTGCCATTTCCTGCCAGTTTTTTTTCCTTCCTGGCACTAAAAAACCTCTCCCTCTTGAGTGGCTGTGGCTACCCAGGTTTTCCCATGGCCTGGATGTTTTGTATCTTTTTGTCCCCTTTAGATGGTATGCCTGGCAATTTAAGTTATAGCACAGTCTTTCCTGTACTGAAGAGGTACACATTTCAGGGTGAAAAAGCTTACAGGAAGGGAGTTTGCATTTTCCTGTTGTCATATGGGCATGACATTTTCTAGGGTGGTCATAGTTGCATGTCCCATCTGTTTTTCCAGATTTCCCATGCCAGCAGATACCAAGTGCATAGTATGTGCACAGGCTTGGTTTCCGTTTGCCTTGGGTTTCTGTGACTGTATTCCCTGTTGG